GATTTACAGCCTTTACAGCACTCACTTGGAACGCATCTGGAACTGTTTAGTGCTTGTCTGGTATCCCTATATTGTTAATTCTGTCGTGTTAATGAAAAACGCTTTAACTCCAATTGCCATTCAAGTATATAATTAAAAAGAACAAGGTGTGTATCAACTAAATGAAAAGAAAAAACACCGCATTTTACTTTATTTTAGGAATTATAGTTAATATAGTTACATTTCAAGTGTAAATCCAACTGTTATATTATACAGTGTGGTCCAAATTGTATTCTGGAAACTTCGGTAGCATATTCTGCAGAAAAAATAAGTAAAAAAGGTCGTATAAATATTTGTCCTACGATGTTTAGTTTTGGAGATACAGGGTGTAGAAATTTCATTTTTATTTCGGTTTTTTTGTAAATAATTTCTGAACTAACGTTGATATTTGTATGAAAATTAGTGTACGAATGTTTTTAGACATGAGAAATTTTATATCGATGTCAGTATGAGTCATACTTGTATGGGGCGCCACCTACATATTTTTTTTGACTGATTTGAAGAATAATAACATTTTGTCCGTACCTGTATAAAACCACTGAAAGAAAGAAATATACATTTCTGTGTTTTTTGCGTATATAAGGTTCCTTGGTAAAAATATTTGGAATGGAAATAGTCAATACATGCCATGCAAAAAATGGCAAAAATGACAAAAAATAAAAATATTGACTAGCTAGTTGTTTGACTGAAATGATAAATGAAATGGCGTTCGCAGATGTAGAACCAGGAATTAAACAACCTTTTTTTAAATTGCTCTTTTTAAAAAAGGCTAGGCATCTGTATTCCCTTGATCTACTCGTTTAGACTGCGATTGTTAGTTTCGAATTTTTGAATTTTAAGAGAAACTGTATATATTTTATATTATTGTGTAGTGTGTTAATGTTTTGTCCATATAGACAGACTATTATGTGTAGTGTTGTGTTGATAGTGACAGACTATTATGTGTAGTTTATTTGATTATTTCTGACAAAAAATTTCTGACAAAAAGCCTTGATAAAGACGAAAATACACGTCGAGACGTAATCTGTATTCCCTTGATCTACTCGTTTAGATGGCGATTGTTAGTTCCAATTCATCGAGACGTCGGTTATTTAAAAAAAGGTTATTTCATTTCTGGCCCTAAACCTGCAAACGTTATTTCATCTGTAACATAAGGACGCAAATCTACCTCTTTATGGAATGATAAACTTGGGAACTTTTTATTTTTATAAGCTAATCATGAAATTTTCTAGATATAAATAGAATAAAACAGTTTCTATTGAACCTTTGACAAAACACATTTCAAATTTATTATTTCATAATAATAACTAGCCAGTTAACATGTATAGTTTTTGGCAATTATGACAAGTATTGACTAATTAGTTTCGAAATATCTAGATTACTTGTAACGATTTTTACCAAGAGACCTTTTTTTAAATTACACGTAGAAAATGACGGAAATGTATATGTTTTCACTCAGTGGTGTGTAATATAGGGACGTAAAGTTATGTATTACTCTTCAAGACAGGTAAAAAATTATGTAGGTGGCGCCCCCTACAAATAGGAGTGATACTGACATCGAAATTAATTGTATGTCGTAATCAACGTATTGTTTCCCATGTAAGAAAACATACAGACACCAACTTTCATCCAAATATCGATGTTAGATCAGAAATTATTTCGAAAAAATCGAAATAAAAATGAAATTTCTGTACCCTATGTCTCCGAAACGACGAATTTTAGGACATACATTTATACGAACTTTTTTACTTATTTTTATCTGCAGAATATAATGCCCAATTTTCCCGAATTCCCGATTCGGACCACCCTGTATAACAGTGTCATATTTAGAAGTATTAATAAACAAGAACTTAACACGGTAGAATTGTTTTAATACACTGCATTGAAATTTCTACTAGTAATCTATAAAAAATCTTCTCATGATTTCATTAATTCTATAATCTACGTTTCGTAATATAACCTAAAAACGCAAATGCCTTTACGGTTTTGAACTTAACGAAGAGTCCTAGGTTTTTATATTATATGTTGAAATTGCTTGTTACAGTTTTGTGTTTGTGTATTGTCGTAGATTTAGATAATCATTATGGTTTTATGCGTTTCACAGAAACAAATAAAGCTAAAATGAGCATAAAGCAGATATAACCATATTCTCTCCATTTATCTGGAAATATTTCAAAGCGAATCTCTTACTTGAAACGTACAAGCGCTACGAACGAATAACCACTAATATTTCTATTAAGCTTATGAAAAATGATGGCATTTCCGCAAAACCCATTGTATTTCTGCGCTGAAACCGGTTTTGAATTTGCAGCGTTGCGAAATTGTCCTTGTTCCCGTGGACTCGACCCGTCAGTATTTATATCATTGACCTCGTTTCATGTAGGCTTCGTTTAGGCGAATGTTTCGATAGATTTTGGTGTATTTAGATGCAGTGGTGATTCTTCAATATTCAATACCCCTTTATTGGATTTTATCTAAGAGAGTCAAAAAATATTTATTTTGTCATTCTTTCATTAATTAAAATATATCTATTTTTTATATATATTTTTTTTCATACGTCACAAATTTTTGCGACGTGTTTGACAATTGACAAATGACAAAAAGAGTAATTTTAATGCCTGGGTATAAAAGTAAAGAAGTTTTGCGCCTAAGCATAAAAAATATGTTGTTAAATTAACATAAAGCATGAAATTCAACGAGCGTAACCATAGTTTCTTGATTTCTATATAATTACTTAGAAGGTATTATTTTTAAACATTAACATTTTTTTTTCTCCATCTCCAAGGTTGCAAACCGTGCTTTGTTTGCTGAAGTTACCGTACTGATGATGCTGAAAGATAGTTACACTAATATACACTAGTGTAATAGTTTACACCAGTATACACTAGTGTATACGGTTGCGATGATTTTTCCTTTTTATAATGTCTATAGCTATGTACACAGCATTATTACATCTCTCGGCTCCCCGAAAAATGAAACAAACGTTACGTTCTTACATTAAGAGGATTACAGTTTATTTTCTTGACCTGCATATTTATAAATCTCACTACAATAAAAATCGATAAAGATAAACTTCAACAAACGAGAACTATATTTTCTCAGCAGTCTCATTTTCTTTTGCCCTCTGTCACTGACATAATATATTATATATTAAATGTCAACTCGGGTCATCTCTTTGTCGCGCAAACGTTTGTGTAGCTTATAGAGATAAAAGAAGTTATAAGCTTTTTATACGGGTATTAAAGAGATATGAAAACTTTTTCGTAATGTTTGATAAAAATATTTAACGAGGCGTATGGCATATAAAGCAAGTTGAACTTTATTTATAATGGAGCATTGACCTAGCCATGTCGATACAACTACGTGGATAATAAGTATCTAGGATGGTGGAGAAATTCACTAGAGCAAAGAGAAATAAAAAATATTATAGTAGAAGATTCGCCAAAATTTGCGACACACCTATTAAACGACGACAGAGTGTCAAAGTTCAAGAACAGTTAACCTAATAGGACTGCTCATTCAGCCGAAAGTGTCTGCCCGGGGCATGCGAAAACTCTTCGCTGGGTGACGTAATTGTAATCCTTGTCATGATAGTATGTGTATTATTGGTTGCCGTATGCAAAACACTCATTATTAACTTTATTTATTTAAACACCTTATATGTATGCAGTATAGAAAATTAACTGTATAAATCGTATTAAATATTCGCATAATGCATTTTTAAGAAGAGCAGCTCCCAGTATCACCTTTTGCAGGCAATCTTTTTAGAGTACTTACATATTTTGCTTTAAAATAATTAATAAACAATATCGTAGGCACTTGCAAAGCACTTAGTCACAACCCACAACACAAAATGAACGTATTTATAAATCCTATAGTTCTGAAAACTTTAAAAACAATTTTTTCATATTTAAAATTGACAAAATAATTAACTCAAAATTTCTCAGCTGTTATTTTCATTAGTTTACCATAGGCAACCAATAATACACACTATCATGACAAGGACTACAATGACGTCACAACTGTCGGCTGAAGCGCGGGAAGAGGCGAAAGTACGTCTTATGAGGATGAGCAATCCTATTAGTTTACCGTTCTTGGTCAAAGTTGTAGTGGGTTTACTAATAGAGTATTTTGCAATCTGACGGAATAGAGGGACGATGCCATGTATAACAGGCAGATTTTATCAATATGAAGGAAAAGCGACAAAAGGCATTTAATGGCAGTGCTACCCCCTGGCAAATGTGTGGTTTTTTGTATTAGGCAGTGATTATTCTTAAAGGAATTTAGGATATTTTTGACAGATCTGATTTGTCATTGTTATCTTTGTTTGACCACGACCGGATTATTTTAAGTTTTGCAATAATATTTGTATCTCTTATAACTCTATTTTTTTATGAAACTAAAAATGGTACACACATATTTGTCCTAGCTCTAATATAGTTCCCATATACAGGGCGAAATTGAAATTGATGCATTTTTCGACTCCCCTCATATCTCGGCCATTATAACTCATCGAAAAGGTGAAAATCGAGCTCCGTAGAGATTTCAGTGGCGCAACTAAAACCAAGATACGAAGAGGGTCGAAAAATGCAACATTTTAAAATTCGCCTTGTATTTCAGGAACTAAAAAGACTAGGAATAAATACTTCAGAATAAAGACTTATATCACAAATCATTTTGAAAAATACTTAAATCTTAAGTCAGTTTCCAAAAGTTACTTAAAATCAAATGACTTAAGTCATTAAAATGACTTAAATCAAAAAAAGACTTAAGTTTTCTGTGAGCTTGCAGCACTGCACAGAATGTTAGAAAGGTATTTCAATAATTTACGCATATTTAGTACCCAGCATAGTATCTATAGAGTCTAAAACCGTTAAAATGTGTGATTTTTTTATAATTGATTCAAACCAGTGTTTGTTAAATGACAATTGTATATGACGACTTTATATTTCTTTTTACAGGGCGTTCAACTGCCAGTCCGCCCCTGATGGCCACCAGCGACTACTCCAGAGGAGCAGCCGTGCCGGGTGCGGTAACATTCCGAACTAGAGAGGCGATGACTCGGGTGTCGCAAGACAGCCCCGTGGGCACACTAGCTTACGTCATGGAAGAAGAGGCTTTACTTGTTCGAGTTAACGGCGGTTGGCAGTATATTGCGGTAAGTTGCAAGCTTTAGAAGTGGAAGTGCATATTCGTTACTGTCTCTGTTGGGATGACACGCTTGAAATTTAATCAAAACTAAACACGTGACTCCTTTATAGCACTTCATATAAAATATATACCTTTGAATAACAAGACTAGTCAAAGAACATATCAAAAGGCTTTGTTTTACGTTGAGTCAATAAATGTTATTTTAACTATTAAAATTTAAAAAAAATATATTTCCAATAAAAATAAACAATTAATATCATTATTTAGTATTAAAACTACTTGAATCCACTAAATCAAATACACGTGTTGTTATTATTTTTGACAAATATTATATAAAGGAAATAATGCAAGAATAAAAACATGATTAATATATTTTAACTGAATTTCATAAACGATTCGTTTACTGCTCATAATCATCATCATTTTCAGCTTATTCAACCATATCCAATTATGTGATATTTTGTCGTACCCACTCTATTTTTTACGGCCTTTCTTGGTTATTTCGTATTCTTTAGTATATTTCGTTGCATTGAGTATTGTGCTACTGACAGTTTCCTTAGAGTGTCTATTTTAAGAGTCTAGGTTTTGCGTGCATAAGTCAGTGGTAGTACACATTGGTCGAATGTTTTCTTCTTTAGATAAAGTGGCATTCTAGATTTGAATATGATTGGGGTTCTTCCATAAGTACTCCTCTGCCCATAATATATTATAGTTATAAAAATGTTTGCATTATTTTTCATTTTTTTATCTGGAACTATTTCTGAAGCGTCTTTCTAATTCACAATAATCGTGGGTGTTTGGGAGGGCTTGAAAGGAAACAATGTTTTTGCGACGTTTCGCAACTTTATTGTCGCTTCCTCAGGCACCAAAACATATATTAATCCATATTATGCCTACAAACATTCATGGCGATTCCAACCGCCAACACTAAAACACATACAGACGAATCGAACAGAAACTTGACGGGTATTTTTTGGCCCGATATACACCGATGCTCGGTTTGTGTCGTACTGACTCTAAGGTTCGCGACAATAAGGTCGCGAAACGTCGTAAAACATTGTTTCTTTTCAAGCCTTCCCAAACACCCACAATTTTTTTTCTGCGTACTAACTACTGGGAACTAACAATCAATCATAATGATTCACAATAATATTACTGTATTTCAAATTCTGATATAATATGTCTTTCAAAATTTGTACATTTTTACTGAAACTAAAGACTATCATAAAATAAACTCAATAAACAACATATCCTCAATAATTTAAACAAATTTCAATTATGCCATTTGAAACAAGCAATCAAAGTTGTCAAAATGTCATGGTGTCGATTTTGTCTAAAGCATGTAAAGGGCCGTTTAAACTCCCAGATAATTTGTACAAAAATTGCACAATCTTATTTTTCATCGTTTACATATTCAGTTAGTTGGTGCTATTTGTCTGGCGGATTTCATTTAAATAACCTAAAAAGAAGACATAAGCGTAACCTCATTTAAAAATTTCTAATCTGTTTTTGGCTTGGTACTTAAATTATATAAATCGTCAGAAACTATAATAGTAGGTACGTATTTTATAAACAAATATAATATTAAACTATCTTAAAAAAACTCACCTAACGGTTAAATACACATCCAATAAACAAATTTTCACGGTAAATGTTAACCAACAAATGTCACAACTATCAAAAACCATGGTAACAATCAGTTAAAAATCATAGATAAATGAAACAAATGTTAAAAAAGTTTAGATTGGAAAGTGCCCATAAGGACAATGTAAACACTATTTGGCGCTATTCTTGCAACGGTCGCGACACAAAACTTTTGAAAATTTCGGAGCGGTTCGGCTTTTTCCGGAATTATATCGCCAAATATTGTTTATTGAAATTTATTATTATTTTCGTTTAATTTTATAAATAAAAGACAGTGTGTTGCATACAAGAAACTTTATTTTATATAAGGACGCATGTATGAAATACCTATGAAACATTGGAAACCGACGTTATACTACGATCCACGATGGGTTTTACAGTTCACAGTTAACAGCACAGCTTTTTAATGCCACTTTTTCACAATTATCACCGGTTGGAGTAAATAAAACTTGAATTAAACTCACAAGATAGCAATTATTACTTTGAAAATGGACGCTATAAACACTTTTCGGAATTTCTTTAATGAGAGCGGTTTAGATTTTGAAAGATTATTATGACTTTTGAAGATTCTGACTTTGACAAGAGAAAATTATTTCTGTTTTTGTTTGCCGTTGTTCTTAGCGACCGCTATAGCAGCGCCAGATCGCGTATAACGGTCGCGACCTAAAATAAATTTGCGACCTAAAATTTTTACGGGCTTTCTAATCTAAACTTGTTGCATTTATCTATGTTAAAAATCAAGACGAGACAGATTTTACTCACGCCAAATTTTTGAACTGCACAAACTAACAATTTTGAGGCATTTTTTTAAAATAATTAAATTTTGTTTTATAGCAACAATCAAATTTTAATTTTGACATTGATGGATGTCTCAAAATTATAACCTCAAATGAAATGACAATGACAATTACTAAAAAGGTTAGAGAGTTGCAATTTTCTTAAATAATATGCAATAATTTAAGAAATGGGGTAATGACATCACCAGTCTCTTTTCGGTTGGCAAGTAATTGAGAGAGTTCGACAATATACAGGGTGGTCCGAATTGTATTCCGGAAACTTCGGCAGCATATTCTGCAGATAAAAATAAATAAAAATGTTCGTATAAATGTATGTCCTAAAATGCTTCGATTCAGAGATACAGGGTGTAGAAGTTTTATTTTTATTTTTATTTATTCCAAATAATTTCTAAAGTAACGTCAATATTTGGATGAAAGATGGTGTCTGGGAGTTTTTTGACATGAGAACTTTGTTTTTGATGTCAATATGACTCCTACTTGCAGATGGCGTCACCTACATATTTTTTAATTGGTTTGAAGTGTAATAACTTTTCATCCGTACCTGTATAAAACTACTGGGTGAAAAAATATACATTTACGACGTTTTTTTACGTAAAAAAATCTCTTGATAAAAATCGTTACCAGTAATGGTTATCGAGATATTTGGAATCGAAATTATCAATACCTGTCGTCGTTGACATAAATTAAACATGTTGACTAACTATTTCTTAAACTGAAATCATAAATTTGAAATGTTTTTGTGTCAAAAGTTCAATAGAAGCTTTTTTACAATCATTTTTTCAAAGAAAATATTATGATTAATTTTAAAAAATAAAAACTTCCCAAATTTACTATTTCAGTCAAATAACTAACTATTCAACATGTTTATTTTTTGTCAAAAATGACGTATTGACTATTTCCTTTTCAAATATCTCGAGAACGGTTGCTCGTAGCCATTTTTACCAAGAAATATTTTTTACGCAAAAAATCACGGAAATGTATATTTTTTTCACCCAGTAGTTTTATACAGGCACGGCCGAAAAGTTATTACTCCTTAAACCAGTTAAAACACATGTAGGTGGTGCCCCCTAGAAATAGGAGTCATGTTGATATCAAAATAAAATTTCTCATGTCAGAAAACTCCCAAACACCAATTTTCATCTAAATATGACGTTACTTCAGAAATTAATTGGAAAAAATCGAAATAAAAATAAAACTTCTACACCCTGTATTTCTGAATCCACGCATTTTAGGACATACATTTATACGAACTATTTTACTTATTTTTATCTGCAGAATATGCTGCCGAAATTTCTGGAATACAGTTCGGACCACCTTGTATAATGTGACGTTAAATGATGGCTGAACATTCTGTAGATACATACTAATACAAAAACTTCATTTGCTATTAAAATATTTAATTCATAGTTATTCAAGTTAAATAACCAAATCACATTTATCATAAAAAAAAATAGTCTAATATATTTTCTAAACATTGACTAATATACCCAATCACTCACTCATGTGTAATTTTATATGTCATACACCAGTTTCTATCTTTAAATAGACTTAGGATAGAGTAAGGTGTAAAATAATACTATAATTATGTACAGTGAACTCGCCTGAATGGGTCCATACATAAACTCACGTGGATAAAGCTACGTCTAGACATACAGAGCAAGTTTGTCTAGTATTAGTATTTTGTACAAAGGCGCTTAAATTATTTTCAGACAAAGAAACCGGTCTGAGCGTGAGACGTTTCATGGGAACAACAGCTAAAATAAATTTACAGCATCGCCAACATAAACGAATGAACAATGCAATTGTTGTTTGTGTATACGTAACTAGAAACCATATAGTTAGGTTTGAAATATATGATTTGTTTGAAAAACCACGTTCTGTGACTGTATTTTAACTTAATAATTTACAATTTTCCTATACGTATTTATAATTTTTCGATCAAATATTCGTAAATATATAGCAGAATAAACAGATTTTACAATAGTCCTATCTATATCAACATCAAAAATAAAATATAATGAGTTAAACATTTTCATATGCATGTTTTTAATTTATCACTAGCGCATACAAAATTAATGAACGAACTGATTTATAACTCTAAAGTAAATATACTTTACGGTCCTATTTCCATTCTAATTAAACCGAAATTAATTTAACTTATCAAATAATATTCAGATTAAAGTACGTGAGAAGCAAATAATGTAATTATTAAAAGCTCTGATTTATTATAGTTCGTATTTGTTGGAAAATTGTATAGAAAATAAACAGTTAAAAATCTAATTAAAAAAAAACAATAAAAACTATTTAGAATATCTAAATATCACTAATTAGAGAACACTCTACTTTTTAGCACTGATCCGTCTATTAAAACCTTCCACTTTCTGAGTAACCTTACATTATTTAAACTCAAACTAAGACCAAAGAGGTTAAAATGTCTGTGTATGTAATATTGTGTTTTATTTTGATTGAAGATTTGTGTGTATAAAAACAAAGAAAGCCATATAAGTCTAACATCATCAGTAACAAATAATAATAAATTTGTTTCTATTTGACTAAATTACTAGGA